GCCCTTTACTTGTGTGTTAGGTAAAATTATTATTAAAGCTGAACATATATTGTCTTATTCACACAAATTGTTTGTGTCTAATTAATCTATTTTAAAGCTTTATCGCAGTCCAACACTCTTATAATTAGTTAATTGTGATAACAACAGTCTGTTGGATGACTGTGGTGGACCAATGAAAGCCCTAAGGGCAATTCATAAATTATGTCACTCTATTCTGGACGATTTTTTTGGCACCCCCCCACTCCCTCACAAGCATCACACCGTCATAATACATAGTCACCACTAGGTGCTTGACCACATGTATGGATGATCTCTTAGGAAAATGTGATCAGTAGTTAACTAATACCACGAAGCTAGTGGCTTCTTCTCCAGTTTTGTCTGAAGATGTCAAGACAGAGATGCTTGCAGATTATGTTGCAATACAGGTCATACTTGGTGAACAACTGGTCACTAATACATGTGTCAAGGAAACAATGAGAGAATTTTGTCTATAAGTCAATATATTAATGTGTATTAATGTTGACAGAAGACACTTCTGCCTTAATGTTATAACTGGGTGTGATTTACAAGCTGTGAACGACAGGCTAAATGTATTGTGATCTGCAAGTTCAGCAAACATAGAGTGTACCATCAAACGACTGAACCATCAGTTGATACAGGTGGTAGTGGTAGGACTCTAACACACAGAGCGTACCATAAAACAACTGAACCATCAGTGGTACAGGTAGCAGGACAAATTTGTACAGGGGCTCATAGCAATAAATACTGTTCACAAGATAATATTGTCAATCTAGTTGTAGGTCAGCTCATTCTGTCAGATAAATACTGTTGACATGACACACCAAACTTCAGTTTCACACAACTCATACTAGCTTTCATAACAAAGATTGCATTGGTGGTGGTTGGGGGGTGGGACACACCTAATGGTGTCTATTCAAATCAGGACAAACATCTGGGTTTTGCTCCGTTAGTTTAAATTTTTCAAAAGCAGTTTCATAATTTGAATCTAATCCTGTCAATGGGTAGACCACAAAGTCTGGGTTCCACAAGTGAGCACCACAAAGAGTGTGGTCTACCAGTGAATAATATAAAGTGTGTGGTCTTCCAGTGAAAAATACAAAGTGTGTGGTCCATCAGTGAATAAAAAATACAATGTGTGTGGTCTACCAGAAACCACTTGCAATTTGTTTTACCACTTCTCCACCCTTGCATTTCAAATTTTACAAAAAAGCCCCACCCATTTCCAAATTGTTTCCTCAGATAATAACGCCAGCTTCCAGTGCCTTCCTTGTGGCTGTCTCAGGGCCACATCGACCACGGCTCAATAAAGAAATATTTTACATCACATTGCAGACGTTAGCAAATCCATCTCACAAAAATATACACACAAGTTTTTAAAAAATAATACAACTGTGGTAAAAGCTCAAATCACACACTGAGTTCCCACCATGTATTTGATGCTTATAATGCTTATATGAAGTTATATATACATTCAAAATTGCCTTATGATTTGACCTGCACGGCCCAGGACATGAATTTGTACATACCCAGTCAACATTGCCTAAATAAAATAAACAAAACAGGCTTTAAATATAGTGTACAACAGTATGAGCTTACAGCCTTCTCTTCCTGGCCAAAGGCCAGAAATCATTTTATTTTAGACTTATATAATACACAATATTGAAAAAATTTTCTTTCTTGCATTAAACATGTGAACATTCTATTTAATATTGTGTATTATATAAGTCTAAAATGGAATTTTCCCATGGTTCATGTAATATAGAAAATGTTTTCAGTAAAATAAAGGAAAAAAAAAAAAACCATCAGAGCCCCGAAGGTACATCTGACTGAGGTAAACTGATCAAAATCACCAAAGTGTTAATATCATATAACATTCCTATATAACAACAACAGCATGAAGGTAACTTTGCTCACAAAACAGTGGACACAACGGGTCCATGGTTGTACTGCAGGATTATATTAATCACTAGAAACACGAATGGTCACACGATTATCTATTCAATGGACACGATACTCAGTGGGTGGTGGCGTGATTATACACGAAGGGGAATAATAGTATATTGACATTCCATGATTATATACTCACTGGATACACACACACACACTACTCAGTGGGTAGTCACATGATTATACATCAAGGGAAATAATAGTTTGACATTCCATGATTAATATAATCACCAAATCCAAAGGTCCTATTCATTTGTCACAAAAACAATCAATGGATGTACAACTAGTGCAAAACTTTGTTCTTTTTTTACACTTAAACAAGTTTTTTTTATTCAAGGTTCTCAAAATTTTTTGGGGAAAAACCTGGACTGTTAAAATAATTTTGATTAAAGTAAAAAGGTTTCTTTAAAAAAAAAAAAAAAAAAGAAAGGTATAAATAAAAAGGTGTACAAAAAAAAAGTGAATAAATACTCAATAAAAACACAACATTACTCCTGAGCTTAAGCCAATCCAATTTTTAAAAATATTCTTTAATAAGAGGGGCTCAGGCCTTGAGAGTTCAAGAGGAGTCTGTCCAAAACAAAACTGCTCAAATTTAAACATAAAAAAAATAAATAAATGGAGTAAATGTTTTAAAAAAATGCGTATGCTGTTTTCAGTTACAATTTATTTCTTATTTAATATGACGTTGACATGACGGCAAAGGTAAGTTCATGTTATTATGTGCAAGTATGCATCAAAATCAGAAGCAGCATTTTTTTTAAGCAATAAAATCATTAAAAAAAAACAATTTATCAGAAAGCAGCATGCTTGAATGACATGGAATCTATGCAACCAGACAACTAAATCTTTTACAAAAAAATATATTAAAAATTGGTCGCGTGTTTAAATTTTGCCAAAAAGAGAGAGATTGACCTAAGAGGAGATATTTTCTCATTGATTTATTTTACATACTTTAAAAATCAACTTGTTTTTTTTGGTCAATTTTTTCCATTTTATAATGCAAAGATGAATTGATATTTTAAGAATTTAAGTTATTCTAAATAACTCCATACAAAATGTTCACCAAGGCACTCCAATCTCTTTGTTATGGTGTTTTCAAATAATTGTGTTTTGTTTGAAAAATATTGAAATTTTTCTACTAAAACATAGGATGTATGTATCAGTTATTACTCATGCCATCAATTGTTCCTGAATAGTCATGCAAGCCAACAAAGATTTTCATTTGAAAAGATATGACATGAGTTTTTTTTTAACATGATTGTTCAAATAATGCAGAATTTTTATGGTTACATAGAAGCATAAAAGACATTATCATTTTCTAACTTAAGCTCATATGCTTAATTTAGAAGTACCATCATAAAAATATAATGTTCTCTATTGTAAATTTGTATTCATAGCTCTGAAAAGAAAGGGGGGTGGGGGGAGACTTAAGAACAAAGACTATTCCGGAGGGGTGGAGAAGGGAGGGAAAATTAATCACAAAAACAATTTGAATTATAGATCTGTGAGATGTAAAATATTGGCTGGCAAGCCATACACAGGACACCGAAGCAGCCATTATAATCTTGCTGAAGGATGTTTTATTCTTTATCAGTTTGTATTGAAATTTCTCTCCCTGCACAAGACCCTTCTATCTTCTTTCGATGAACCTGTTCAATGAAGGAGTTCCACCAGGTGCTGGAGATCTAAATATTTCCTAAACTAAATCAAACCTCTGCCTTGTCTGAGGACTGCTCCAAGAACTTGAATTCTGTAATTGTGAGAAATGTCTTCGATAATTGTTTAAGACTGTGACATTAGTTCCAGCGGTTTCATTTGATTAAGACTTGCTGCTTTAACAAAGATATAACTATTCATGATTTAAAGGATCATCACTCTCGCCCGACAACAGAACTTACCTCATGGCTGCTTGAACAATGATAGGAATCGGAACCTGTGTTCTGCTCCCCGTTTTGTGAGTTGTCATCCTCCTCCTCATTTTCATCCTCATCCAGCAAGTTCATCATGGACGGAGCTTGGGATTCTTTCAAGCTGATATTGTGGTTAAGGTTTTTAAAGAGATGAATAGAGTGCTGTCATTAGGCAAAACCTTTTTCCCCCTCTCCTTTAGGTGACCATGCAAATGAAGAAGCCATTTCTCAATTATTTTTCTGAATGATTAGTCACAAATAGTTAATAGGGCAGCAGAACCTTTTTCAAGTTTCATGCTATTGTAAATAGAGTTTCTTGAAAGTGATTTAAAATAAAATGTCAACAATATTTATCTTATATTTACTGGTATGGTCGACTTGTAAAGTTCTGATGTCCGGGGTTAAGAGGTCACATTAATATTTTAGACTGTTCAAAATCAATAGACTTATACTTTATTAATATTTTTTAATGTTATTACCATTTTGTGATTATTGTAATTACATTTTTTTAAATATCTGACTGGAGCAAGAAAGATCATCAAACAGAAACCACAGACAAGTATTTTCATCAGTTAAAATACAGATTTTCTTTAAGCTAAGTGCTAACAAAGCTAATAGCAGATTCCTACAACAGTATTAATCTATCATCAAGCTTATATTGACAATACTTTGCTGTTTATTAAGGTCAAACATAGGAATACACCTTGGGGGTTTCTTGCCTTTCTTCTATTAATTAAACTGTATACGTGTAGTTATTCTCGGAATCTAACCTTTTTTTAAAAAATGACTTGTCTATTGGTGAATCATTGTTTAACCATTCATAAATTTGTGCATTACATCTTCTTCTTCTTCTAGATATTAAGTGCCCACGATCAATGTAGTGATCATTCTGGCTCCTTTAGATCTAATTTTTTTTTGAATTTTTGACTCGACAATGAATAGATTTTACATGAACTTATTCAGAAAGCAAAATAAGAATTTAAAAAAAAATAAAAAATTTGCACATCTGAATATAAAAGTTCCAAAATCTGGCATCATCTTTGTTGAAAGTGTTCAAAGCTGTACTTTCAAAATGACAACAGTCATTACAGCACCTTTTTTTGGTTTACAAAAAGGATACATTTGCTGGGCAGATTTCTTTTTTCTCTTCAGGAAAAATCTTCTTGCTAATGCTGCAAACTGCCTTCTGGAGGCTAAACAAAAATATACAACTAATTAAAAACTCACGCCTGTTGTTTCCCCCCCCCCCCTTTCTTCTTTCTGAGATCGGCTCAACAGGCCCATCGGTTGGCTGCCGATACTTTTAAGTCATGGTAATTTCAGCGTTTCATTTTTGTATTTTAATTTCTACATCAATATTTAAGTCAGGAAATATTTTTTTTTTTAAAAGGACTCAAAACTGTTCAAATCTGAATGGTTTAGTTGTTTTTACAAATCTTTCAGAGCTCATAATTGGTAAGCCCCAAGGGTTTATAATACTGTAAAAACCTCCATTCAATGGACCCTGGTATCATGAAGAAACATCCATGGCTATTGCTCTGCAGCCCATCTAAAAAAAATTTTCTCATATTTTTCAGCATCCTCCTACCTTTGCCCATGTTTTTTAACTTCTTTCGAAGTTCCACATCTTCACTAACAGGGGGTGGCAACTGCTGACTGAAGGGAAATGCCTCTAGTGTATCTCTGCGATCATCACCATAGCCTTCTGTAAATAAACAAAAATAAATCCACTATCAGAAAGTTCTAAAAGATAATAATCTGAAATTTTTGCTGAGCTTTATCAGCAAAAAGTATCCAAATCCATTAATAAAATTATTGATAATCTGCATTTGTGACTGTGAATAAAAAAAAACACTTTGTCAGCAACTCAGTGACTTTAGAATATCACAAAGGTATCCAGATGTTAAATGTAAATTGTTTTATGGTTATAGAGCCCTGGATGTTTTTAAGAGGATTTTATCAAATTTTTACTTAATTTTATGGTCCCAGTTGAAGTCTTAGATTGATTTTTTGTAATGGAAAAAAACTAACCTATAAAATCTCTATTCTCTTGGTCTATACAGGAAGGATCTGGGACTTGCTCCTGTTTGGTTCTGTCCCCTTCATTACTCTTTTGATCTGAAAAAGGGGAATAGATAATTATTAAATTGCAATAAATTTTTTACAACAAAAATTGGAGAACAAAATATATCTCTTTTTTTTCTTCTTCAAATTTTGAAGGTAAAAACTGTATTTTAAGATTGAATAAAATCCATTTCTTTAAAGGAGATTACAGAGGAACACATTTCTATTCATTTGTTAGAGAAAAAAAACATAAAACTGTAAATCGACAATTAATTAAAGTGACATAATAAGTATTACTATGATAAATGCATTTTATGTTTCCATAAAACAATAATTTTAAACATGCTATACTTAAACTTTTTACAGCTACCACCATTATATAAAAGAATCACCATATGTGTTATCAACAAGTACCAACAAAAAATCAAAGTAAAGTTTTTACCTCTCTCTAAAGTCATCATGAAAATCCTATCTCCTCTCAACTCCTGTAAAAATTCACTGTTCTGTAACATGATGGCCAGTCTCTCATCCTCCAGGTACTGGGTCAGGTCAGGGTCAACATCTACGGAAGTCATGCGACGACGACGTTCATTCTCTTTCATTCTCTCTTGCAGGATGTCAGAGCTAAATTCATGCTGGGCCAAACCCTGATAAAGATAAAATAACACTTAAACAATAAAATTCAAAACTAAAAGGTGTGAGTTTAAATTATGCTCATTTAAAAATTATTGGCCATTCTGTGGCTGCAATTATTTTTTAACTATATATATATATAGTATCCTTCCATCTTCCAGATTATTGACACTTCATCGAATAGTTTAGAAGGCTGATCCTCAAATGGCAGTCTCAGCTGCCATTTTCACAGTAGAACCTTGACGGAAGGTTTATTTTGGCCTTCCATAATGCTCTTTTTTGTTGCAAGGGCTTTGTTTCGCACATTTTCAGCCTGTTTGAATCTCTCATTCACTGCTGTTTGCCAACTGGGACGATGATCAGCAACGATCTCCCATTCACAGATTATTTTGTTGACTTTCCTTATGTTCCTTTTGCAATTGCAAATGTCCTTAAAGCGCAACCTTGGCCTTCCAATAAGTCTTGCATCCTCTCCATACAGCAGATTCTTTGGAACACGGCCTACCTCCATTCTCTCCAGCAATAGTGCCTCTTTCAAAGAGTGGATAACATGCTGCCCATCAATCTCTGGGGCCTTCCCATCAGCAAGGTAATCAATTGGTTTTTCAAGCTCCTGCAAAGATGTCTTTTCAACTAGTTCTTCTATTACTGACAAGAAGGGGATACATCCAGTGCGGTCTCAGAGACTACATTCTTTGTTGTGTATAGTTCAAGATAATGTTGATCGTTTGGGTTCATGATAACTTGACCTGACTTGGACTAAAGGGGTGCGAATTTTGAAGTTTGTGTACCTAATGCCCTATTGATGCCTCTCACATGCACGTTGTTGGGAGCAATTGTATGCAGTGGCAAAGGTCCAACCAGTAAGTGTTGGCACAGTGGCAGGCAGTCTGCTTGGATATTTTCTTTGCAGTCCTGATAACCTGTAGTGTACCAGCACAAGGCTTGATCTTTGTAGGCAAGTAGGGCTTTTCTCTTTTTCAAAGTCAAGGGTTCCATCACTTTCCAATGCATCTCACACCATTTATTCGTCCCCTATTCCTATAGGCAGAGATTGGTGAGTCATACACAATATCTCGTAGATGAGTCACACTTGGAGTCTATAACTAATAAGATATAAGCTAATTATATAATTCAAATATACATATTTCTAAGTGGTTTTATTTATTGCGTTCGTCTGGTTTTTAAGAAAGATTCCTACTGGCGTAAGCAGTTTAAAATTGGATTTCTATGAAAATAGTTTTACACTCATACCTCAGAAATTTAAGCTATCCAACTAAATTTGAAACTCTACAAATAACTAAAAAAGAAACTACTTTCTTACAGATGGATGCACATTTTGTTGTCGTTTCACCTGACCAGTATGTCCAGCAAAGGAAAGAGAGCGATGAGGTTTTTGTGATGACTTCAGTTTTGGTACTTGATTATGGGCAGACTCTGCATTAGAGAGGGATGGGGAGGTGGAAGTGGGATACACACATGGGCGCTCTGGACCCACTGCTGACATGGTTCTGAAAAATGACCCCAAAATTTTTTTTAAAAAGAATTTTCTTGTTTTGATTGTTCAAATATAAGTTTTTATAATTAAATCTGTTTACTTGACATTTTATAATATTGTATCATAAGAATAAATTGACTCTTTTAGAAATTATGTATTATGCTGAACATGCTCTTGTTTATAGTGACAATGTGAGCATCTTTACTCATTTACAGTAACTAATGTGTTTATAGTGACAATGTGAGCATCTTTACTCATTTACAGTAACTAATGTGTTTATAGTGACAATGTGAGCATCTTTACTCATTTACAGTAACTACTTGTTATAGTGACAATGTGAGCATCTTTACTCATTTACAGTAACTAATGTGTTTATAGTGACAATGTGAGCATCTTTACTCATTTACAGTAACTAATGTGTTTATAGTGACAATGTGAGCATCTTTACTCATTTACAGTAACTATGAGCATCTTTACTCATTTACAGTAACTAATGTGTTTATAGTGACAATGTGAGCATCTTTACTCATTTACAGTAACTAATGTGTTTATAGTGACAATGTGAGCATCTTTACTCATTTACAGTAACTACGTGTTATAGTGACAATGTGAGCATCTTTATTCATTTACAGTAACTACGTGTTATAGTGACAATGTGAGCATCTTTATTCATTTACAGTAACTATGTGTTTATAGTGACAATGTGAGCATCTTTACTCATTTACAGTAACTATGTGTTTATAGTGACAATGTGAGCATCTTTATTCATTTACAGTAACTATGTGTTTATAGTGACAATGTGAGCATCTTTACTCATTTACAGTAACTATGTGTTTATAGTGACAATGTGAGCATCTTTACTCATTTACAGTAACTATGTGTTTATAGTGACAATGTGAGCATCTTTACTCATTTACAGTAACTATGTGTTTATAGTGACAATGTGAGCATCTTTACTCATTTACAGTAACTATGTGTTTATAGTGACAATGTGAGCATCTTTACTCATTTACAGTAACTATGTGTTTATAGTGACAATGTGAGCATCTTTACTCATTTACAGTAACTACGTGTTTATAGTGACAATGTGAGGATCTTTACTCATTAACAGTAACTATGTTTTAAAAATTCAATAATTACTATAATAAATGCTTTCCTTCAATATCCAAGCTAGACTTTACACATTCTGTTCATTAACAATGACCCTCGCCATCAAACAAGTTTCACAGAAAATCTATCTTTGTTTAAGCAGCGATGTAATATAATTTTCATCACCACTTTTTAAGGTTTAAACTGCTATATAAACCAGTACCAGTAGGAGTATACCTAGTTAAATCATAATCATAAATGAAAAGAAAGCCAGAAATCGATTAAGAAGCGGTAGCAGCAATTTGCATTTGACCCATGGACCACTGGGGAATAACTCAACGGTTTTTCGCATAAATTTTTTCCAAATTAGAATGGTTTTAATCAAGGCTTAAGAAAAATGTGATTTAAAGTTTTTACAAATAAATGACCTTTGTAAATGAACTCCTGACTTGACAGGTCTCTGTGGTACGGTTGGGACTTTGGTTATCCGAAGGAAGTCATCGGGTAAAGTGCCGAGCAGAGGTGGATTCCAGTTTCTATACACTGGCCTTTTTACACTGGTTGACTGAAGGTAATTATTTTTTCATAATTATTCTAACTTTAAGTACACAGACTTCTTGAAACAACAGAAATTGAAAATTATACAATAATAGTTAATTTTTAAAACTTATTTATGTGTTAAAAATGAATTTCTTTAAGTTTCACCAGCTGTATGCTGACTGGGAACCAGGTTTTTTCTCCATTAAAATCCACTCCAATCAGGCTTTGTAGATTTACCAGCGACACTTCTAGCCGAATTACAACATTAACTTTTGGTGACAGATGGATACCGAAAATATACTTTCCAACATCATCTTAACTGCTTAAGAACAATTGCTTGAAATGGATGGAACATCTTCTTTACTTTAAAATCACTTTCAATTAAAATTTAAAAAATAGAAATGGTTGTTTTTCAATTGTCTTCATAACTGGGTCAAGATAATAATTTAAAAAGCTGAAAAAATTCAAACTTACATCTCGAGGGGATGATCTCCATCGATGAGGACTTTTCTCTCTTCCCAATCCCTGTCCATTATCCATGGTAAAGTCATTACTATCTAAAGATCCTTTTCTCTGTGGTCTAAAACTAAAATCCTCTGTGACTAGATCTTGGTGAGATGCAATAGAGGATGATGCTAGTAAATTTCGGCCTGGTCGAGGCTTGTGTGGGGATCCATCAAGAGCGTCTCCTCTTCTGCGATGGTGGTTTGAAGATCGAGGGACATTGTGGTGGTAGCTGTGGTGGTGAATGGAGTGATGGTGGCTATGGTGAGATTTACTTGTAACCCCAGTGCTGCCTGGACCAGTCACACCACTGCTGGCTAACGGTGCTGTATCAGGGCCTAGATCCAATAAATGTTGCATTGTACTTAGTGAGTGGCGTGAATGCAGTCCATTATTGTTGTTGATAGCCATTGTGGGAGAGTTGCGATGCCGAATACGGGTGTTACTACTACGGTGATGTTGAGCCAGATGAGACTGAACAGCTTCTGTGTATGATGGAGGACAATCTTCAGTATCTTTAGATGATTTCTCTTGAGCTTCAATTGGAGGGCCTTTCTAAAAAAAAAAATTAAATTAAAAAAAAAAAATCTTCATTTTCATCTAGTGGCCAGATGGGAAGCTCTCACAAAAAGTATCTTCAGTATCATGAATCCACTGCTGTCATTGAACTTAACTTGCCAAATTTAACAAAAAATACTCTTACTGTGTTCAGTTCTAATTTAAAGAAATCCTCCAAGAATAACATTGCTCATATACTTCTCAAAGATATACATCTAAATAATATTATTGTCGATTTCTAAATTAGCAACACAACTCTTCTCGAGAGGTAGAAAATAAAACATCACGCCAAGTCTCTTCTGGCAAGTTAAATTCAATAACAGTGGCAGTAAAGATTTTCACTCCTCAAATTTTCATTTCAATTGAATTGTGTATTTAAAATCATTGCAAAGGACAATATAAATTAATTATGTGAAGTGTTTTGTAATTTTAAGTAATTTGGTTGGTTGACGTGAATTTGTATTTAAATCAGCAAACCTTGCTTGATCGAATGCCAGATCGTCTGAAGGAAGTTTGTGGCTGAAGATGTTGTGACTGCTGCTGTTGCAACACATCTTTTTCAACCGACAACAAGATATGGTCAGGTAAATCATCGTCCTCATTAATCTCAGCATCAATGTTCATCGTCAGAAGCTGGTCTATTGTGGCATCCACCATTCCATTGTTTGCCCTCAGCACTGCTTCAATGACTTCCTCATCTGTCTCAGGAAACATGTGACGAAAGTCTGACATAGCCTTGATTGAAATAGAATATTTAATTAATTGATACAAAATTGAACAATCAAACTAAATAACAGAATTTCATTGATTAAATTATATATTATACTGATATGATTTTGTTTAAATGTAGATATTTCATATCGAAATACTGTAAATCATATTATAAATAAACATTGCAATAAGAAATATGCTATTTTAATACCTGATTAAATTCCAGTTGGCGCATTGGACGCCCAGGGGGTCGGCCAGGTGATCCTTCACCTTGTCTGACACCCCTTGTGCTATTTAGATTGTCAGTTTCAGTCATATCTGATACTTAATTATCCATTATTTAATGCCCATGTAGATCTGCCATAATGCAAAAAATTGACTTATTATTTATTTATCAACTTATAGATTTATTAGTCATTAGTTCCTTACTTTTGCATTAACATTCTTTCACCTTCACAAGAATTCAAATTTTTAATATTAAGTGGTACACAAATCAGACTTCCTGCTAATTTTTAATTAAATTAACCTGGATAGACATTTTATTTAATCAACGTAAGCAAAGTGAAAATTAAATTTGGAACACTATTCAATCAAAGAATGGAGCAAATATAAATAACAGTAGTACAGTAGGTCAAGGTAACACAAATTTCACATAAACTAAAAGGTGGTGGATGAAAAAGCCTCCGGGTGGCTCCTAGGTGTGTGAAAATAGGTAGGGGATCATCAGCAAATGTTATTTCTTGACTTTGCTTGAGGAAAGATTACAGTGATTGAATTCTAGGATTTTCTTTATTTAAATTATTATATATTATTTTGAGAATCAAAATAAATCACAAGAAAAAAAGATGGTGAGTTTAAGATTGTTTGCATCATTAAATAGTGATAAAATAGACAAATAGCCTAATTCATGGTGGTCTTGCTCTTGTTTATTGCAGGTTATTACGATTAAATTGAACATTGTGTTGAGTATAGTATAGAAAAGTAAAACAGTACAGTCAGACATGGTTTCTGCTTCACAGTATAAGTATGGATGTAGCCATTGTGATGATAGGATATATTATTTATATTATAATAATGTATGGCACAGTGCAGTTTTTAAGACTAAAACCGAATTTGGTAATAGTGATTTAAAATTCAATTTAGGTATGCCTAACCTCGGCCAAAGGATCAATAGTAATAAAAATATATAAATTTATAGGCTTAGGCTCTAACGTAAAGTAAAGGCTGTAGAGCCAGAGGTAGTAAACTTAAAAAATATTGGACTTGGATAACTTAGTTAAAAGGGGCAAGGTGTGTGTCAAGTATGTCAAAAGAACATGCTGTGTTATTGAAACTTATTGTGAACACTGTAGAGTGAAGTACCACTGAACCATTGAATTCATTGATAAATGAATGCTTGGAGATGATATCAAATGTCACTGATCATGCCATAAATTCATAAATGTTATTGTGAATCATGCACAAAGACAAAGTCAATAGTAAAATTGAAGGAAATTCACCCATGCCATTACTGGCCTGAGTTGCTGACTTTATCTTTAAAAATAAAGTTTATGTCAAATTATAAATTATGTTTAGGTCTAGCTAGAGCTTGAATTCTGATGAATATTTGCCTCAATCAATGAATTTAATGTAAATTGTAATTGATTTTGAAAAAAGTAGAAAAAAAAGAAATTGAATTCAATCACATTATCATTACTGGTCAATAGGTTAACAGATAGACTGATACTATAATATAATTAAAAGTAAAAAATGAAAACATTTAGCCCGAAAATTCTGAGAGAAAAAAAAAACAACTAAAAATAATAATATGAGTTATTAAATTATAGAGTAGAGTAAATTCAGTAAAAGATCTTTATAATTGGCCTTACGGAGGTGTCTTACTTCTTTATTATATTCCTATTATTAAAACATTTAATTTAAAAAATCATATTCTATGGAATAGACAAAGCCTCATTTTTGTTGATTTAATAAGTGATTTTCCTTCTTTATACCCTGATACAGGCTAAAAAAAATCAGTCAGTGGGTAAAACTGGTCGACATAATAATCTGTTAATGTAAATGTTTGACTCCAGTCTAAGAAAGCTAATAATTCAACGTAGTGGAATAACTATTTTAGGTAACTAATTTGAACAATTACCATAATACCTAAAATATCAATTATTATATAAATTGAAATAAAAATATTTTTATTTCATTAACTCTTTTTACCTTATTTTATAAATCTTGTAATAAAGATATTTTATTCGCTAACATACAAATTAGTTGTTTTTTTTTTTAAAAAAGATCTATAAATGTTGACCATCCTGTGACCCTTTCAGTTCAATGCTATTTATACGTCGTAAATGGGGTTTTAAATAATACAGACATAGAATATGTTATTTCAAAAATCTTTGAGTTGCGAAATTAAAGATTTTTGCCATAACAGCTAAATTTTAAAATAATAAATATTTAATTTGATAAAAATCTAATATCTAATGATATATTTTAAAGTATTTGGGGCTTAATATTGCAATTTTATAAACACACCTAACCAGAAAATCATAAATGAAACAAAGGCTTACCTAAGTAAAAATTGCGAGAAGTTCATTTATTACCAGGGCTCTACTTTAATAGTCTTTAAATAGTGATGATACCAAAGGGGTTGGTGGGGTTCATTACCTTACATCGTTAGAAGAACTTAATCGTCCTCTTGGTCACTATAACTATGTTTTATTTCTGAAGAAGACCTATGTTGTTTCAGTGCAATTGCAACATTTTATTTAACACTGTTCGGAGACCTTGGGCCATCCATATATTAAGTACGAAAAAAGTCAAATTTTCACACCCCTCCCCGTGTTGCACATGTACGTTTTTTGCCCCCCCCCTGAAACTAATAATTTTAAAAAAGTAATTAATAACTTGCGTAAGTACAAAGGAGCTTTTCACCCCCCCCCCTTTCTACAACCACATCTTTAAAAAAAGTAATTTTATAATCACCGTAGTAAAAATTAATTTCTAATTTGCTATTATTTATGTTTTAAAAAAGTAATTAATAACTTGCGTAAGTACAAAGGAGCTTTTCACCCCCCCCCTTTCTACAACCACATCTTTAAAAAAGGTAATTTTATAATCGCCGTAGTAAAAATTAATTTCTAATTTGCTATGATTTATGTTTTAATGTAAACAGTATTTAAATAATAAAAACTCCGCACCCCCTTTCTACGCCACTACATTTTGTGTTTGCATAGAAGTTAGCGATTGATCCACCCATGCAGTAGTTCTGTTTGAAATTATATTAATATAGCTCACATAATAAAAATATTATTAAAAAATAAAGCCATCCACCGATGCAATAGCACTGTTTGAAATTATATTTATATAGCTCATATTAGAAAAAAATTTTTAGTGCCCCCGGCCTCCAAAATAACATTTCAAAATGGATAACTTAATTCAGAAAACTTTGCGGGCGTGCGCACAACAATTTACCAAAGTTTTATCCTAATTGGATGAATGATATGGGACCTCATACAGAAATTGTATTTAGCTCATAAAAGGAAGAAGAAAAAAATGTAGGGCTCTGGGCCCGAAATGGAGCATTGTAAAATGTTTGTAACAATTCATAAAAATTTGCGGAAATGTGTACAACTCACAAAAGTTTTATCTCAATCGGATGAATGGTATAGGAGCGCATACGGGACATACGGACATACATACATTAATTTTTAAATATGTATGGATAAAGTTTATCGAATAAAAGAGAACTTTGCACAACTATTCAAGGAAGCATTCTATCCACCCATCCTTCCATCCATCCATCCATCCAAAGCCCACCCACCTACCTACCTACCCATCTATCTATCTAAGAATATCTTAACCCATCTCTATTTTTAAAATTAAATTTTCACTTGTGTAAAATGATTGGGTTTAGGTATTTATGGGTATAATTACATAAATGTAATTACATTTTGTTAACGTGATTCATTTTCTTAATTGGTAAAAATATGTTCATTTGTAAAATGAGAATATAGCATCTACTTTTCACTGTAATTTCATTGGATATAAAGATATTGTCATCCAGGTAAAAATTTACACAGCTTATTTTCTATCCCCGATCTATATATATATAAGTACATAAGAAGGTTAATTATTTATCAAATTCATTCTGAGGCGTATCTGGTGCTGCCTTGGGCAAAATGAAAGTATCGTATTAATTCCACCCCCCCCCCCAAACATATTTTTAAAACAATTAATAAAATCATCCACGGGATTGTAGCCCCATTACCTACGCAAAACAAATTTGTTTGCATTTCATATTCCTTTTTCTTATTTGGATGAGTGAAAATTACATTAGTGACTGCTATTTTGCTATGTAGTTTCGCTGTACTGATTGTATTAAATGGCATTTTCTTATTGAAATTATATTTAAAGGTTAAGTTTTTACTACTTTATAAAAAGGGTATATTTTTGGAATGAAAAAAAGTAAAAAATTATTAAATGTTAAAAAATGTGTATTTAATTTTAGTAATTTAAAAAGCAATCAATTATATTTATTAATTTTACTTTTTAAGAAGGGGAAAATACATTATCAATTTTGACACGCGCGGTTATTAAATCAGAGAAGTTTTAGCTTTGGCTAAATAGGCAATTCGCACTATGACGTCATTTGCATGATTATTTAGAAACAAATTATTTTATTTTATTTTCGCAATATTAACAACGCACCAAAAAAAAAAAAAAAATTTTGACACGGGGGGTTTTTAAATCAGAGAAGTTTTAGCTTTGGCTAAATAGGCAATTCGCACTATGACGTCATTTGCATGATTATTTAGAAACAATTTATTTTATTTTATTTTCGCAATATTAACAACGCACCAAAAAAAAAAAAAAAAAAACGCACTAAAACAATTGACGTTTGGGTTTTCCCAAATAAATGTGATTACGGTGTAATTCTTTGATCATATATATTTTTATTTTTTTATTTTTTTCATAACTTTCAAAAACATATAAAATGCTTAAAATAGTTCCTTAGTTGATATTTTATTAAATGTATGTGTAATTTATAATAATACTTAAACTTTTACTAAAATAAAAGCGGATATATAATATTTTTTGCGCATTTAGATTTATTCGATTTCCATAAAATAATAGAAAATAACTATAATCGTTTTTAAGAATTGGAGCGTTCGGTTCTTTGGAATTCTTTGGAGTTACGGTCAGCATAGCCCATTCTTATATAATATATATGATGGTACCCGTTGACAACGATTGGCGACCACTGGTTTAGTCGTGTCTTTTATCTGTCATTTGGTAATCATGAAACCTATTTATATTTTAATATGGAAAAATAACTTTTAGTAAAAGTCTTGCTTTTAAATGAAAATTATGCCTCATACTTATCTCAATATTTGTTAAGAAGTTGATACGTATATTACATATATTTAAATATTTATATATAAATAAATAAATAAAATAACATGAGTGTGAGAAACATTCCTGGCAATGCCATTGGTTGTTATAATCAATTGTAATCGCAGTTATTCGCTAACTGGAAGTTATTAGTTAGGTTAAACGGTATCATAAATAATAATTGGCCTTTTCTAAAATAATTTACTGTAGTGTATTTATTAAAAGTCGCAGTATTAGAGTGGTTATTTACGATATCATGTTTCTAATAATTAATTAGAAAGGCTTCGGTGTGCTAATTATAGATATCTCGGCTGATTACTTATTTCCACTGAACAGTTGGGACTTCCGGTTACATTTTAATGATTTTAAGAAATATTACAGAAAATTTGCCTACGTGAAGTTGCAGTGTAATTAGAGCCGTAAAATTTTATCGTAATCTTTAAAAATACGAATTAATGCCGATTTAATGAGAATTGATTGAGTTCAAGCAAGTGAAAACAGTGTAAATATTTAGGAGACTAAGGAATACGAAGCTCAACTGAACCTTTACTTTTACAATTACAAGGGGGTGTGTCAGTTACTGTTTCTTTGGGAACTTTTTTCAGCTATGAATTGTATAAGTCTTTAAATGTTATTTATGCTCTGTTATTATTTTTGTCTCCAGATTTCTTTCAAAATTTTTTGAGATTAACTTATAACAATGACAGACTCAAAGTATTTCACCACCACTAAAAAAGGCAAGTTGCTTCAAATTTGAACTCTTTCTGCAGTCTGCATATCCCCTACAATAAATTTGTATTGTCAATATTGTTGTTAATTATTAATAGATTTTGTTTCATTATTATATAGTATAGGCTTTGCCTCTATAAATTCTTAAAATAAATTTAATCAACCTAGGTCTCCATTAGGGGTGTGCCGGATTCCGGTTCCGCCGGATTTTGCACTATCCGGTGAGATCCGGTTCCGCCGGATTTACATGTATCCGGAACAACAGGATTCCGGAATCCGGAATATACCGGATTTCGGAATTTGCCAGATTTTGTGACTCACCGGATCATAATCTGAAATAAAAGTAATTCTCTTTCCCGAATTCCACACGATCACGATACATTAATCGATTGTTTTGAGCGTTGAGCTTGTTTAATGTTTAATATTCCGTACATACCAGAGGCTAGAGTCAGCACCGCTAATAGTGGCCAATAGTGTAGGGACTTTGATTAGAAAATTTAAACTTTTTGTAAAAATAAACCAATGGCATTGTTGAAAAGATGTAATTTTTTAAAGAATTATAACACCAAAATCATATATTTAGCTGTTGTAGTTTTAAAGTTATGAATTTTTAAAGTACGACTTGGTTTGTCATTTTTTAACATGGACTGCATCTCCACATTCTGTGATCTCATTCCGCCAATCCCGTCATGCGCAATGACTATATAGTTTATATAAGGCAACGCATTCCCTGCCTTATCACTAAAATACTGTTTAGACTTAGTTTAAACTTTCAACTTTGGCACATGAATAATTAATTAAAGCTTTCCCTGACCAATGGTTTAATAGTTTTTGCACACGGCAAACTCTTATGAATGAAACTCTGAGGTAGTACTACGATACAGTTATGCAAGTGGCTGTGAATGGTTGCCAATGACAACGTGTTGCACACGGTAAATTCTGATCATTTATAATATGGATTCTACCGGGTTGTTAAAGCTCAAATTAAAACATTCCAGTTTAAATGTCTTTAAATGCATTCTGAAACACAAGTTATCAATTATTTTGATGTAAATAGTGATAATAAATTAATATTTCCTAAGTATCGTCAACTTCCGCCATTAAAAAGGGGGGCGTGGCCAACCCCATGGCGAAATTAGGTTGAGCGAGCTGCATAACCTGCTGCGAACGCGTAGAAACATGGCGTCTCTCGTAAGACACTTATCCAAATGGAACGGAACTCAAATATATATCGAAAGTACTAATTTAATAATAAATAGACACACACATCGGAAAATTAAAAACTCGGATTTTTTGGCGCCGATTGCGAATTCCCATACACAAAAAGTAGTAGTCCACCTTGACTTACCGAAGTATCTACCAATAGTACCAAAATCCGGAATCCGGGAGAAACCGGAATCCGGATCCGGCGGATTTCGCATAAGAAAATCCGGATCCGGTTGGAAAAAACGGATCCGGCACACCCCTAGTCTCCATCTTAATTTAATTTTACATAATAGGCTATAACCTACTCCATAATCTTTAAGTTAATAATATCATCAGCGAATTGATTAGAAAAATAAAAATGCTAAACAATTTCCAGTTTTTTTAAATTGGACAGTAAAAAAAGGAGACCCTAAAAACTAACTAAACTTTCTTTTAAGATTATGATTAGTTTATATTCTCTGTCTTTACCACTCACCTTTTTTTAGACAGCCTAAAAATGATTATTTTATATAGGTGAGATATTTGAGTTAAAAGCTGAACTAAACAGTGACAAGAAGGAGAAGAAAAAGGAAGCAGTGAAGAAAGTTATTGCTAGCATGACAGTTGGCAAAGATGTGAGGTGAGAATACATTTCTCCAAATGCAAATTCATATATTTTAATTGTCAGTAAAATAAAAGTTGTCACCATTTTTCTGGCTCTGTGCAAATGATTTATTTTCTTTTTTATTTTAAACACTATGCATGTTATGGATGAAGTAAAATTAAAATTCAGAAATATTTATTTTCAGTGCTCTATTTGCTGATGTTGTGAACTGTATGCAGACTGACAACCTCGAATTGAAGAAATTAGTTTACCTGTACTTGATGAATTATGCTAAGACTCAGCCTGATGTTGCCATTATTTCTGTTAATACATTTGTCAGGGTAAGATTTGTTTATATGTATTTATAAAACATGTTATAAAATGATGATTTTTTTTAGATGTTTACAGCAGACAATAACATACAATTTTTCAAATGACATGTTGAGGTTAAAACTATTTCAGATTTGAGCAACATTTTGTCAACACGATTATAGCTTTACCACCATATTAATGTATCATATTAGATTTGTGGAAGCAGACATTGCACAAGAGCTTCTGTGTATACATAGTTGTAAAAAGTAGCCAGTCTGTATTTCATTAAAAAAGAAAATTGATCAGTTAAATTTTTATACATTTTCTAAGTTTGTAACCATAGTTAAATTATTATTTATTTTAGTCAATATACATTAAGAGACTACTTATCTGTAATTAAATTAATTCAGTTGACAGTGTTAATTTACTCACTTTTCTCCAGAGTTGTTCCATTCTAGTATGATATTTTATTTCTTCACATTGCAGGATTGTGAAGATCCAAACCCTCTAATACGAGCCTTGGCAGTTCGCACTATGGGTTGCATCAGAGTGGATAAGATCACTGAGTACCTTTGTGAACCTTTGAGGAAATGTTTAAAAGATGAAGACCCTTACGTGAGAAAAACAGCAGCTGTCTGTGTGGCAAAGTTGCATGACATAAATGCTCAGCTTGTTGAAGACCAAGGTTTTCTTGAAGCCTTGAAAGATCTATTGTCTGACTCCAACCCAATGGTGAGATACATCTGATGTTATTTTGAATTCATTAAGAAAGAAAAGTTTTGGTGGGGGTGTATTTTTTCTTTAAAAAAAGGCAATTTATTTTCCATAACTTATAAAAAAGATAATTTACATCATGTTTTATAGAGATGATGTAAAATGTAGAATACCTGTTGCTAACTAACTTGAAAGAACCTATATTTAAAAAGAATTATTATTTTAGGTTGTTGCCAATGCTGTAGCTGCAATCTCTGAGATCCTGGAGACATCTTCAAATCCTCAGCCAAGTCTTGAGATGAATTCAGGAACAATTAACAAGCTTTTGACAGCTCTCAATGAATGCACTGAGTATATCCTCATATTTATTACATATCCCTTAATCCAGGGGCTCTTAACCTTTTTTGTTCCTTGAGCCCGTTTGCCAGCTGCCATTCAGATGGAGGTGATGGATCCCTTATTAGAATAAATTTTCATATGTATGAAATAAGATTATAAAGAAAATACACCTCACAGACTCTCTGACTCCTTTCATAGACACTTCCCCTGGGGGTTTTTGGACCACGGGTTAAGAACCCCTGCCTTAAACCCTTATCTGATTAAATATTTTTTATTAAAATTAAAATGTTTTTCAATTTGTTTTTGATAAGCTTGTTATAACTTTTCCTTTTGAGTTTTAGTTCATTTTTAAAGCCTTATTTCTCTTTTAATATACAATTTTATTCATAATGTAAAACTGTATGTTGATTAAGTCATTAACAGACTTTAAAAAGGAATTCTTATAAGTTAAAACAGCTACTTTATTATTTACCTTTTTCTAATTGTAATATTTTAAAATTTTATTTTGCCCTCTTAGGTGGGGTCAAGTATTCATTTTGGATTCAATCTCCAACTACACACCTAAAGATGAAAAAGAAGCTCAAAGGTAAGGTTTAATATTTAACCTAAAATCTTACTTTATGCCGAAAAGATTTTTTAAATTGGCACATTATGGTCTACATGAAATATTTCTGGTTCATCTCTAAAAGATCAGAGCCCCAACCGTTAGAAAAAGACACTCAACATGACACAGACCTGTTTACTCTTACGATTTTGGCGTACAATGTACGATTTTGAGGTGTATACATTGTATATACTGTGTGTTTATTTTTTTACTATCAAGGTAATATATGGAAAGATTTTGTGATGTTGTACGATTTTAAGAGTTTGCTGGTAAACAGGTCTGATGACATGATAACTTGAATGGCAAGAGACATGCTTTATAATTTAAATAAGACATTTATTAGTTTAGTGCCGTGGTCGGCAAACTCTTGAGTCAATAGACCCAAAAATCAGCAGCAAGACGATTACATTTTTGAGAGCCAAATTTCTTGTCAAGAACCATGTTTTTCAAAGTCAAAACTGATTTTTGGCCGACTGGCAGAGCCGCACTCAAGTTGTTAAAGAGCTGCATGGGGCTCGGGAGCCGCGGTTTGCAGACTACTGTTTTAGTGTAACTGCTTTGTAGAGCTCATTATTGTATGATGTTTATTTCTAATAATTGTAAAAATTGTGAATATTTCTGTCAATAAGTTTATTGTGGACTTCACCAATCTACTTCCCACTGATGATATGGGTGAATGCAATTAAAGATTACTTGCGGTATGAAATGATCATCTACATTGAATATTATGACTCACATTTGTCAACATGTGACTTTCAAGCTTTAGTTTATTTTCTTTATCCGTTACCCAAAAAAAGCTTTTGATTGCAAGAGGGAATAAAAGAAATGAACGGAGGACTACTGGGTTGATTTTGCATGGACTATTGCAATGCTCTTATGGTGGGTCTTCCAGCTACGCTCCTGGATAAAATTCAAATAGCGCAGAATAATGCGGCTTGCATTGTTCTCCGCAAACGCAAGTTTGACCATGCAAAAACACTTCTGAGAGAGCTGCACTGGCTGCCAGTGCGTGCTCGCATGGAGTACAAAATCGCAACTTTGTGCTACCGCTGCTTACATGACCTGGCGCCGTCCTATCTGAAAGAGCTGCTGACGCCTTATGTACCCACTAGAGAGCTCCGCTCATCCGATAGTGGCAAACTCTCGACACCACGTGTTTGCCTTGAGACTTACGGAAAGCGCACTTTCGCATTTGCTGGTCCACTAATTTGGAATGCCCTTCCTGTCGATCTCAGAAACAACCAGACACTGGAGTCCTTTAAAACCGATTTAAAGACACATCTATTTCGCAAACACCTTCTGGGATGATTGTCAACATTATTTTCCAGTTAATGCATAATGGCTGTGTTGCTTATGGTTGAAATGGCTAGAAAGACTTTGCCATTGTATGCTTGTACTTAGTTTTTGTCGTGTTGCGTTTGTTTTAAATGTGGTAAACTATAGATTTGTTTTTTGTTGACTTTGTACCGCGCTTCGAGCCTTTGGGGATGAAGCGTGTTTTTGAAATGAACTTTATTATTATTATTATTATTATTATTGATGGGTATTTGTAAAAGTTTAAGCACTTAAACATTTTCTTCTTCTTCATATTTTGTACAAAAATTTCTTCATTTTCTTTTTCTGAACAGCATTTGTGAAAGAGTGACACCGCGTCTTGCTCATGCTAATGCTGCTGTTGTTCTGTCCGCTGTCAAGGTTAGTTTTGGTAATATAAAATCTTTGGCATAATATTCTTTTCTTGTCAGTTAAAAAAAAAACATAGGCTATTAATCCAACTGATGGTAACAAACAATTATATATAAAAGTATTTTAAAAACTAAAAATATAGTGCAGGAACTTAAAAAAATACAAAGAAGGCATTAATTTCAAAGCAAATTAAAAAGTAATGCGAGAAATCCCACTAAAACAAATTTTTTTTACAATTTATGAACCCAAATAAACTTTCTGATAAGTTGTGCATTAAAACTAAATGAGTTTTTCATGAAGTCTGGTAGCTGTAACATTAACAATGTGTTTGTTTTTTAATTTGAAAATAACAAAAACTTTTTTATAATCACCAAATCATTATTTTTTAGTTATTTTCAATAAGCCCTGCATTTCCTTAAAAAAATAAAAACTTATTTTTGTTGCCAACACCAACAAAATGACCAAATCTTGAACTTACTATAGATCAAGTGTCAGCTGTGAGGGAGAATTCATATTTTAAACAATTACATAAAGATCAATCAGCTTGCATGCCTTGCAGAAACAACACTTTGCTTTGAAAAGCTTGCCATACAGCTTATGTATTTTCACTCCAAACCAACCTTTCTGTGATATTGGTATCTATATTTTAACTCTGACATCAGAATTTTCTTGCTGTGTTTTAGGTTATCATGAAGTACATGGAAGTACTGGACATACATGGTGACTACGTGACCATGTTAGTTAAAAAGCTGTCCCCACCACTTGTCACTCTCCTCTCTGCAGAGCCTGAGATACAATATGTAGCCCTGAGGAATATCAACTTAATTGTGCAGAAGAGGTGTGTAAACCTTGGTGATTAAGATTTAGTGCAGCAAAAAAACAAACAAAAGCATGGGAATGTTATAAAGAAGTTAGCTTGTATCCACCATATAAAAAAATATTTGTACATTTTTAAAATAGAAATGCTTATTCACTTTTTGACCATTATAGATAGATAGATGTAGATGAGATATATAGATGTATATGTTTTTATATGCTCATCAGTCTTGCAATTAATTTTGTAAAAATACAAAATAACCAAGAATTTTGTGTGAAAAATTGTAATTTGTTAATATAATTTACAGGTCGGATATCTTGAAGACTGAGATGAAAGTATTCTTTGTTAAATACAATGATCCTATTTATGTAAAACTTGAAAAGCTTGACATTATGATTCGACTCACCAATCAAGCCAACATAGCTCAAGTTTTAGCTGAATTGAAAGAGTAAGTTTGGTTTAAGGGCATGTACTTTTTATAAAAAATATATTTGTTAAACATTTGGTAATTTAAGATCAGAAACTTTTAAAAGGTCATTTGCAGTCCCAGAAAAACATTCTTTTGTCATGTGATGTTTATATGTGGACTGTGTTATTACTTGGGTGATCCCCAACTTATATTATGTTAAATCATTTCAGAAAATTGTATAATTCACCAATATCAGAAGTTTCAAAAGTTCTGTTTTAAGTATAATAAAAAATATTTTTTTGTGATAGCCACTGTGTAGACTAAAGTTCAGAACCCAACAAAGTTATTGAAATGTTAATAATAACCGTACATCACTCAGATATGCTACTGAAGTTGACGTGGACTTTGTTCGAAAATCAGTGCGTGCTATTGGAAGGTGTGCCATAAAAGTAGAACAAGCAGCCGAACGCTGCGTTAGCACTCTTCTTGACCTCATTCAGACTAAAGTCAACTATGTTGTACAAGAGGCTATTGTGGTTATCAAGGTATTTAATAGTTAGCTTACTTTATTATTACCTCCTAATCTGATCTCATTAAGATTTCAATGAAAACAATTCATCATATTTGAAACAGGTATTTTCATAAAAATCAGATTATTTTTCTAGGGCTCTATCATGGCTTTTCATATCCAGAATGGTTTAGTTTTCACATTGATTGCCTTGTAATAATTTTGTACAATAGAAATGAAGTCCACATTTTTCTGATATGCACAAACCATTTAAAAGATAAGCCTCTGATGTGCAATATTGAGAATTTTGCAAAAAACATACTTACACATTATAAGACACACTCACAGACATATAAACTAGCAAGGTCAAACAAAATATGCATGATCCAGTTGTCTTTTACCTTCCCTTCACAGGATATCTTCAGGAAGTACCCCAACAAGTATGAGAGCATTATTGCTACACTGTGTGAGAATCTTGATACTCTTGATGAGCCAGAGGCCAGGTAAAGGAACAATTTTATTCAGAAGGAATGCAAAATACTTCAGAAATTGTATGAAATTTATATGTTTTTCAGCTAAGCGTTGTTTGGCACTGTTAACGTTAAGTGAAATTTGTAAAAAATGTTGGCATGCATTTTGTTTCATAATGAAATCAATTTACTTCCCAGAGCCTCCATGATTTGGATTATTGGTGAATATGCTGAAAGAATTGACAATGCTGATGAACTATTAGAAAGTTTCTTGGAAGGTTTCCAAGATGAGAACACACAGGTCTGTTATAATATAATTATAACAATAAGTCAAAACTCTTGTGTTTTGTTTTTAAAATGTTATATTTACACAATTACTGAAACTCATTGCGCCTTTTGTAAAACATTTTGTGCAGGTTCAGCTCCAACTCTTGACAGCTATTGTCAAGCTGTTTTTGAAGAGACCTACAGACACACAAGAATTAGTGCAGCAAGTGCTCTCACTAGCCACACAGGTAAACTTTCAAATGATTTTGAAATATGGTGAACAGAAATTCAGTTACCACTTGTAATGTCAATTTCATGTTACATGCCCACTCAAAAAATATCACATGAATTGTGGCAACGTATTCTCACATTCTGTGCTTATTTTAAACAAAGCAATATACAATATAATTAGTATCATCCAAGGAAGTGAAGAATTCATGTATAAAGATGCTTTTAAATTTAAAATTACGATAAGTGACCGAAATTAATTATACTTTCATTATTTTAACGAGAAGAATGACAAGATTCTATCAAATTCAGAAAAACATTAAGCTGAGACTATACAAACTTATTTTTTGAGGAAAAATTTCGTGCAAATCTTTTTTTTTTTAAATGTCTGATTTTTTTAAAACATATTTTTTGTTCAGTTTTGTTCTTATTTTTAAAAAATCTGTTTGTTTGTTTTAGGTTTTCAAATTAAAGAAAAGTAAAGCGGTACAAACCCTAACTGAAACATTAATTTCAAATTGAAGAACTACACAACCCTGATTTCTGTATTTTTTAGGCTGTAACGTTGAATGACATCTTGATTTTCTCAATGTAGGACAGTGATAACCCTGATCTGCGTGACCGTGGTTACATTTACTGGCGTCTGCTTTCAACTGACCCTGCTGCAGCTAAAGAAGTGGTTCTTGCTGAGAAACCCCTCATCTCAGAAGAGACTGATCTTATTGAACCAACATTGTTAGATGAACTCATTTGCCACATTGCCAGTTTGGCTTCTGTCTACCACAAGCCTCCAAATGCTTTTGTGGAGGGTCGTGGCGTTTTGAGACGCTCTTTGCCTCGTAACCAATCGTAAGTCTTTTAAAAGTAGTCAACTGTGTAGTCAAACCGTTTAAGGAATCAAATAATAATAATAATAATAATAATAAGTGGTCTTATATAGCGCGGTACCCCGGCCTAGGGCTGGGCTCACCGCGCTGTACATATATAGCAAAGAGGCATAATCATAATATTAAAATAAAATACATAAATGAAATAAAAACAACATATAAGCAAAACAACACCATAGGTATATTCATCCACCCACACCAGACATTTTTACAAGGAAACCCATGTACGTTTATCGGTTTATAGGAGGAGAATCAGTCAGAGTAGTATAGTTTAAATAGATGTGTTTTGAGTGCAGTTTTGAAGGCCTGTGTGGTTGTTATATTGCGGATGTGTAGTGGCAAAGAATTCCATTGTTTGGGGGCGCAGAAAGAGAAAGATCGTTCACCATATAATTTAGTGCGTGTCTTGGGAACGGACAGAATACGCGAGTCTGCGGAGGAGCGAAGTTGTCGAAGGGGTGAATAGACAGAAAGAAGTTCAGTTAGATAGGAAGGGCAGGAATCCGAGAAAAAGTTGTGACAGAGAAGAGACAGCTTGTAGTCAATGCGTGCCTGTATAGGGAGCCAATGTAGTGAGTGGAGTAGTGGAGTGACGTGATCGCGTTTTTTTGCCTTAAGAACAAGCCTAGCAGCAGAGTTTTGAACTTTCTGCAGTTTTTCTATAAAATGTTTCGGTGAACCTGACAGAAGTGAGTTGCAATAGTCAAGACGAGAGAGAACAAGAGCACAGACTAGAGTTTTTGTTGCGCTAACTGTCAGGTAGTGGCGGATGGAGCTGATCTGACGGATGGCGGTGTATGCCGAACGACAAATGTGAGAGATATGTTTATCGAGAGACATGTTGTTAGAAAGAATATAACCAAGATTCCTAGCAGAGGGTGTAAACTATTATTTTAATGAATGAGACTAAAAGTTTTTAGAACAAGAAAGTAAATATATTTATTTTTTTAATTTGACTGAAAATGAAATTAATTACAAATGGAGGATTACACTTGGAGTACCGGTATGCATTTAGGTTATAACTCAAGATGTAAGTATGTGAATTAGAATTTAATTAGTGATTAATTGAAAGCACTTGTAGGTGCATCATTGTGAATATAATATACATTTACCTGTAAGTCGAAGGATTTAACTTCTATTATCTAGTGTACCGTTGTTTTCTTTCCAGTGGCGATGCTGCAGCCGGTGAATCGGTCATTGAGACACATGCTCCAGCTGTTCAACAATCAACGGTCATTCCAGGGGTTGATTCTCTCATTGGCGATTTGCTAGACATGGACATTGGAGGTCCCACCTCTTACCAACAGCAACAGATGATGAATCAGATGCCGATTTCGGCCCCTCCACCAGCAGGAGGTGTAGACTTATTAGGAGAGGGACTTGATACTTTGGTGAGGACCAACATGCATTTTTCCTGATCGTTTTAATTGTGAGATTGTAAAAATTTTATAAAATGAAAGATGTGTCTTGATATTTGACATTGAGGTATTGTTGATACCGACAAAAATAATTTATGGCATGGACTAAAATTTTTTTTATTGTCCCATTTAATTAATTGAAATACTTACAATTTATATCTCAACAGCTTGGTGGTGGTGGAGGTGGGATGGATACGCTTGGTGGTCTTAGTGATATATTTGGAATAACAGTGCAATCGTCATTCTACACTCCACCTCAAGAGGTAAGTATATTTTAGGTTAAAAAATGAGCATGAAGCTACTAGTATCTAACTAAACAGCTATATGAATTTTTATTATTAAAAGAAAAATTATTGTATGAAAAAAAGGAAATGATGATGATTGAAATTTGTATTTTGTTTTATCATCATAAATAGTTTACTACTAATACTACTGATGTTATAAATAACGTACCGTACTTAAACACATTAAACAGATACTAGCATTAGTGCTTGTAATGACAGATAGAATTTTAAAGTATCATTTAATGAGTAAATTCATATTATTTAAAAAATAAAATACCAAAACATAACCTTTTGTTTTAGCATAAGCCAATTGTGGAACAATTTATGTGAAGGCTTGAAATGAAAAGATAGGACAAATGAAGCTTAACCACATTGCTGAGCCCTAAACATGTTTGTGTATTATTGACTGATTGTTTAACTATGGTTTAACTAAAAACAAGAAACTTATTTCTAGGTTTGGTTGACAGCAGCTAAGGGAAAAGGAATGGAGATAACTGGAACATATACCAGAAGGAACAAACAGATTTACATGGAGCTTACATTCACCAACAAGGCCATGCAGCCCATGTTAGGATTTGCTATACAATTTAACAAAAACAGGTAACATTTAGCAATCTATTTCAAGCTTTACCAAATATCTGTAACTATATTGTTATTTCATTTGGTATGTGATTGAAAAATATCAATCAAATTATACAATCAAATCAAATATCTTATTAAAATTCATTAAAATGGTTGGAAGTGGAAATTTTTTTTACATTCATTGCCCTTTGTATGCATTGGAAAACATGTCAAATAAAAACAAATAACTTTTTCTATCAGCTTCGGTATACAACCCGCAAGCCCTCTTCAACTCCAGTCACCACTGCCTCCCAACCAGAGTGCAAGCACATCCCTGCCTCTAAACACACAAGGACAAATTCAAAAGATGGAGCCACTTACAAATCTACAGGTAGTGTATGTTTTATCATTAATACATTTGGATGTCACAATTTTATTCCAGAATGTGGTATTCAATCTAAAAAATAGCTATCATATCTTCTTAATTTATTTAATGAAGAATATTATTGTAGCTAATTTGATATAAATTATCCTTTACTTCTATTACATGTATGTTAATACCAAACCTATTGATCTGTTATTCTCTCTTATTTTTCACCAGTGAAAATCAAAGACATTATTTATTGTTATCTTATTACAGTGATGCATAGCTTGAAGAAACTTTAAAATTATTTTATGTATTTAAGAATTTAATTTGAAATAATGTTGTTTTGGTATATCATGCTCTTAGAAAGTCTTTGTTTATAAGTTTGTCTTATAAGAAAGTACCCTTTCAGTTACATATATTAATAACCTATTTCCCAAAAAGACTACTTTTTATTCACTTACAATTCATCCTTCTCTGTTACATTATCCATTAGTATTTTACTTGCATTAGATTTTCCACTTTGAATTAAAGCTAACAATGATTTGATTATGAATTTACTAGGAAATGAAAAACGTATATGTATTGAGAGATTTACATATTACAAATCTTGGGGTGAAAAGTATCTGCCTTTTCTGTGTAGACAGTGTTAAGATGCAATAAGTATTGTTTATCGAAACCTTAACTAATTTTATTATTAAAATGTTGAGGACCACATGGTTTTCATGTTGTATGCTGGTCCAATTTTTTTGTATGCTGGTCAAATCTTTCCAATTTTTTTTTTTTTAAAGTTAAGGTAAAGATGATTTTTCTAAAATGTAAAATAAATATTTGAATTTGAATCATTTAAAACTTTATATTAAAATTCAGGTTGCTATCAAGAACAACATTGGAGTATTTTACTTCAGCTGTCAGATTCCCATGCATGTTCTGTTTACTGAGGAGGGCGAGATGGATAAGAAAGATTTCCTTGCCTCATGGAAGGAGATTCCTTCTCAAAATGAGGTCCAGTCCACCATTACAAATGTTCAGCACAATGCTGGTAAGGGTACAGATAATAGGAAATAGATGGGGGGTAATATGACAAAGGTTTTTGTTAAACTAACATCAAATGTTTGGGAGAATAGCTGGGCAATGTAAGTGTAAAAATATTTATCCTATCCATGAAACGTTTAAATATTTTTAAATATTTCGGCAGACAAAGCTGTATATAATTTATAAAAAGCAGAACAAAAAAATGAAACGTTTAAATATTTTTTTGTTCTGCTTTTTATAAATTATATACGGCTTTGTCTGCCGACCACAGTTCTTTTCACTCCATCAGTCAGGAAATTATTACCATCATATTATAACAATAAATTGAAGTGATCTTTTCTTAATGGGATTGCTATTGTAATATCCTATCTTGAAGTAAAATATACAAATATCCCTTTTAAGAAATTTTTACATGTGTAATGTTGTTTGTCTTAACACATGGGTCATCAACCAATTGCACACTGTAGAGCAAAAATTAATAATAAATGATTACAAATTTTGTACTATAAGTCAGGCTGATGGATATAAGATGAATGAAGTAGAAATCCTACTTGGGCACAATATTACCAAAAGCTTGTCAAGCTTTTTAACACATTCATTACATTATATCATAATGGATGGAAGAGCAAATATAAATTGATATGTTAAATTTTTTTATAAATACATTTCCAAAGTATAAAACTATAAAATTTAATTAAATAATAAACATTTCAATAATTTTAACTTTGGATATAGTTTTGGATTTCACATAATGATTGCATCAGTAATTATCCCAAATAGCCATACAGGTGTGAAATAAACCAATGGCTCTGCTGACCATTTCATATGTATTTGGAGTAACATGCGTGTGAAAATTTCATATCTATATGAAAAGAAACTGTTCTCTTTTCCATGGCTATTTTAAACAAAAATTTGGTCTATTCTTTACAGATACAGTGTCACAGAAGCTTCGTAACAACAACATCTTCACGATTGCCAAACGAAATGTTGAAGGTCAAGACATGCTGTATCAATCACTTTCTCTGACCAATGGTATCAGAGTTCTAGCTGAGCTTAAAATTCAGCCTGGAATGTCCAATTTCACTGTAAGTATCAGCACAGAAAGTGCATGCCTCAAGCTTTATACATTTGTCATCTTGAAATCTCTTTATTACCAGTTAATGATGTAAGCTTTGTTCTAACACTCAGCTTCTAAATATGTATAAGTAATTTGTACACCGGCATTGTTTGCCTCTAGGTTATAGCTTCATGTTAAATCCTCACCTTTATCTTACCTTTAAAGATGTTTTCAATTTTCCTGTAACGAAGTGTATCTTGAACTGTATTTATGTTCTGACTTTTCAAGAAAAAGATCTTTTGTGTATATAATGCGTGTTGATTTGAAAAATAATGTATTTGTATTACTTTTTTTTAAAAATCTTGTTTCCATTTTCTAATTGTGGCTGTATACTATAAGGTTTACTCAGCAAGGTGTTAATAACTAAAAGTGCCTTTTATTAATACTTTTGGAACAAGACTGACTGACCAGGGGTTCTATAGATATTGGCTTAGCTACAGTTAATATGCAAAAGGCTATGATTAGTTTAACCCATATTTAGTAGTTTGATCTTTTTTAGATTTGAACAGCCTGAACAAGAGCCTGTTCAAGTATTTTGCCTGGTTTTTTAAAAATAACAATACTTTTTTTTTAGAATTGAACATTGTGGTACCGGTATGTAGAGAATATTTAAGGAATTCTTCAAATGAGAGGATATCAAATTTGTAGTATTTCAAGTTATAAGAATAGGAGAGAATACACAAGCCATAAATAAGGTGAAGGGAATGTCAGCTAATGATGATATGGATACATTTACTTTCTGCAAAGTTGGACAACCACACAAAACTCACATTTCTTAAGATATGATATTGGAAATTCAACAAGAAGCATCTTAACCACTTTCCAATGTACAGGATAGCAACATGAAACTTTGTTCTTAACCAAACCTCTTGGTCCGAATTCTTGATCTTTGGCTTCAGCTCAATATAATTTTTAAGATTAATAACTCTTCTTCCACAACTGCCTCAATTTCTGAACATTGATTAATCACCATTCTGGAATTTTATCAAAATTTCTATAAATTGCTCCGACATATCTGTAAGTAGCATTTTGAGATGGTAGCAAAATACTTGAAGATTACCCTTTTACTAACTTTCTAATTCAGACAGGCATTGAGATCAGAATAACTTGTGACAGACCATAGTTTGCTTGAACAAAGTTAATTTTTATTAAAAGGTAGAGATGAATGAGACAAGTTCGATTAGAGAACTACAACATTTGCCAGTTTATTTTTCTTGGTTTGGCTGCATCGACAAAATGGCAAATTATCTGCTCCTCATTGATGATTGCCAGCATGCTTAAACCCCACTGTCATTTCAGCATTGAGTACAACAACTCAACCACTGTCAGGCCTGTGGCTAGCCGACCAAATGAGAAAATTATATGAGTACCGTTGGACACATGCATTACCAACATTTTTTTTCATTCCAGCTGTCATTGAAGTCTCGGGTGGAGGACATCTGTCCCTTCATTCAGCAATCTTTTGATACTATTCTACACAACTGAACTCGGATGAACTTGGCAGTCAGCCATTCTGAAAAAGGTCCTTAGCTAGATTACAATACTATGGAGAAGTACTCTCCTCTGTGTTATATGGCTGCCCTTTAAAGCTGTACATTGCACTGTACACTTTGTTTATTTTTAATTACCCTATACTTAGAGCTTATAAGTTTTGATTTGATGTTTAGACTTGTTTAAAAATTAGGTCACATCTAAGGACCCTTTTCATCAGCATGTAGTGCACAGGCATTTAATTGGCTGTATATCACTTTATTTTGTAAAACTTAATTTGATAAAAAAAAAATAAGACACTATTAGATTTTTCTCATCTATTTTGACCCATCCTAATTTTGGTTTGAATTTGCTTGGATTTGTGGGGAGATGTCATATGTTGTCGTTTTTAAACTTAAATATATCTTAGACTTGAATAGGGAAAAAACGTTTTTTTTTATTTTTGTATGTCATGTTACCATATTTACTCTTTAAATTAAATTCCACATCTTTTATACCATGTAAGCATGTTTTCTGAAAAATACTAATTTAAAAAATCCAAGTTTTGTTTAAATCTAAATATTTTGTAGCATGTTTTTAAAATGTATGCCTCTAAGTTTAAAAAAAAATGTGTTTAATTTTATTCACATTCTTAAATGTTTAATAATGCATATTTGTAGTATTTTTTTAATGTGTTTATCCATCATATGTTTAATATTACAACTGATCATAGTAGATGACAGTATTCAGTTTTTAAAAGTGATAGCAATATTGAACCAATGAAAAGAAGGAAATGCAAATTTTCTTATGTCATTACAGACTAATGCAACAAAAGTCAAGAATTGCAAAAACAACCATCAATAATTTCCAGTTGTTAAATTTCTGTTTCACCTCCTTTATAGACATAATACTATAATATCCACAGAAACTTACCATACGGTTTTAATAATTTTATAAAAAAAAGACTTATACCAGTCCCTAGGAATATGAAAAGGATTAACATGTTCACAGTATTTCCTGACCACTGCACCATCCTCCCACCCCCATTCAATTGCTAAATCTATGTACATAATGTGTTTAATCTATCTTGTAATTTCTCTTCCATCCAGCTGTCCCTCAAGTCCAGAGTGATGGACATTTATCCATTCATTCAACAAGCTTTCGATACCATTCTTCATAACTGAGATGACATCACTGCATCAAAGAAACTGATAATAATAATATTCATCATAATTCTATGTTAAATGTCTTGTGTACTTGGTAGTGGAGAAGTTAACAGATTAATGTTCTAGAAATATTGAAAGCATTTAAATTATTCTAGCAAGTTTTCATTATGTGTTTATATTGCATGTGCCAAATACAGCACTAAGATGTAGATGGCTGGTTGGATCAGAGTTAAAGGTTATGGTAGGAAGTATTGCACCCAAGTACAGGAACCAATTATTGGTTATTTAAAATAATTTGATCAGAGTTTGCGAGTAAATTTGTCTTCTGTGTCAAAATATAGTCCTTATCTTTAAAAATAAATCTTTGTTTTCATCAAACTTTCTTTTTTTTATTAAAAAAAAACAACACATTTTCTTAGGACATTCCTTTTATTACCATTTTTTTCATAATTTTCCAATTATCACTTATGCCTTATCGCATAGTCCACTGCTAAGCATAGACTATATTATAAGTAACTTATTTTTAATTGCATTTGTTAATGAAATGGTTGTATTAATCCCTTTTCCCATAATAAATAGGTTATTAATAATGTTGTCTGTTGCTGTCTGCTTATTTGAATTAGTTTTATAATTAACAATTTTAGATAAATCATATATTTCGAATTGATGTTTATCACTATGTCAGGTTTTTAAAAAAATGATTTGTCTTTCTAACAATCATTATTTACACACTTCAAGAGCAACCTAGTTTGGATAGATCAATCAGTGGCTAGGCCCCGGGTCTAAAACCTTTACATGGCAAAGAGCCAAATATTAAATTTTGATCTAGTAGCCAAGAGCTTCATGAGAAAGATAAAAGAGCTTTAGGTTCCCGACCACCGGGCCAGGTAAACCAAGCAATTCCTAGATCAGCTTCACATGGTTGTATGCTGCATTGGTATTATATTATTTTATATAAAGATTGATTTAATTTTTAAAAATACATGTCAATGTTGACAAATTTGGAGAACAAAGGCAAAATAAATATTGGATTAGCATGTTTAAAAAAAAATATTCTTGACCAATCAAGTCTCTTGTCAAACAAGAAAATCTCAACAAAAATATAATAATGATTGTTCAAGTGTATTAGTTATTTCATTTAAGTCAGAAACTCTGTTACATACAAAAATATTTTGATCAAATGACACAATTTAGTCTAACATTTGATCAATTTATCCATTGGCTTTTTGGAGACATCTCTTTTGAGTACTTAAAATGTAAAACAAAGAATAATATTTTGAAAAGTAAATCTATATTAACAAAAGTTAATTAATTAATTATATGGTGAAGTCTTGAAATGGCTTTCCACATAAAACCACTAAAAACAATTTCAATTTTTAAAAAAAACAACATATTTATTCGGTAATTGATTAGTCTAAGACATCGATGATTAGGGACTGTTTAGAAAATGTTACAAAAATTAAATCTTACAAAAACTAACTTGTTAAACAAAGTGAACAAATCAAGAGGGGAAAGATTATATTGTTACTTTCATGTTGGATGTATGAATTATCGGTAGTAAAAACTACATAAAAACATGGGAATATTGTAATATATTGTATTGAAAGTAAGAAAAGAACACTCTGACACCGAGACATCATGTTTCTTATATAATAGAGCATCCCTTTAGATCAGAAAGTTCCTTATAAGTTTAGACTTAAGTCCATGGGACTATGACTATTCTAAATCTGACATAAAAAAAATAATTGACATTTTTTATTTAATTAGGGTTGACTTGTTTCTGTTTCACGCTGAGTAAGATACGGCACACCTGCAGTTTTCCCTGTTGATACTTGATGATCAAAATATCGCTCGGCATAGTGAATACACTCAAACACAACCTGGGGAAACAAAATAATTTTAAACATTTTTGTGCACATCTGATAAAACAGTGATGATATGATGAATGATTTTACAATACCGGTAATTAAATTAACCTGACTAAAATGGCCTTAAAAGATTTTAATTTTAAACATTTTTTAAAGTTAAGTGCAAACTGATTTAAACTGAATAAAATGCCTCGACTAGAAAAGACAGCGGCATGCAAAAGCAGTTCTGAAACCATGACTCTTCCGTTTTCTTACCTCCACCATGATAAGAACAATGATCATAACCTCCAGTCGTGTGTGATGTGTGTCATTCAGGTGGGAGCTTACCAACTCAGTCAGTTCACAGCAGTGACTGAGTTTTTCATTGATGACCTGAAAAAAAATGTTTCATATATCATTAATATGAATTTTATTTTTATCTCTCCTTTTGCTCAAAAGTGTTTTAAATTTAATGTAATAAAACTTGATAAATTCAAAATTAAAGCAACCCTTATTTAAATATACCATCAACTTTATCACATTTTATTGCGACATCAATAATTTTATATAACTGCATATTTTAATAAAAGAACCAAGCAAAAATTTTACAAAATCAAAAGAGAAACGCTTAAAAATGTGGCAAAAGCTTCAAAAACTTTTAAAAATTTTCTTTAAAAACCAAAATGTTATTTTCAATTACCGCACCCACTTCCCAAAATGCATCTTCATTAATATTAATAATTATAGCACAACAAAATTAAATTATTTCAACTCACCCTTGTTCTTCTGGCAATATTAAGATAGTAATATAGAGATAAGTAAAGTGGTTCCAATTGCTCCCTGTCCCAGTAGAAATCTGGTGTATCCAGTAGTTCTGAACTCAAATTTATCAAGTGCCTGATAAAATTGTATTTCAAATATGGGTTTATTATTATTTACAAATGCATCCTTTTAAATGTGCTCACACTTTCCATCTAATAAAAATTAAGAGAATCAACTAAAACAGATATGAGAATTGAATTACCAATAAGGTGTAATTTTTTAGACTGGAAATTTTCAAATTACTACATTATAAATGAACAGTTTTACATGAGTGAATTTGGTGACTTGTGTCTGGAAATATTTGGTGTAATTTTTTTTAATAGAATGAATTTTAAAAAAGGTAAAAATGTCTGACTAAACACAAAGAGGTTATACAAAAAAGATCTCCACAAATACGTGGGAATACAGTGATGGGCAAAATTTTGACAACTGTGGATATGAGGGAAGTGGTTATCTAATAAGTTAAAGTGGAAGTCCCAAAGCACAGTCCAACCGGCATCTTTTCTTTCTTTCTTATTTCTTTCTTTGTTAAATACTGCAAGATATTCTATTTAAAACTTGTTAGAGTTGTTAATGATTGCTACTCTGTATAGAGCAGTATGTAGTAGCACATTTTTCTCATAAATTAAATGTAGTATGCAAATGATGAATTGCGCAGGAATAAAACGGTAATAGTTGTTTATTTTATGATTGAAGATTTTGAGTAGAATGAAAATACTCTTAAAGAGAAGTTAAGGTTAGACTTGAGAGGAAGGTTTAAAAAAAATATTTTGAAAATATTATGACATTATGAAAATGCTTTGTAAGAGTGACCCACAATTGTTTGTTAAAAAAGGAAAAATACTATGAGGTTTTCAACCTAAGTTAGACTATGACGACACAATAAACCTAATGACTAAGTCTACTTTTATAAGAAATAGTCACTATATGATATCAACAATACAATTAAACCTACCTCAAAGAAAACAACTCCCCTGATTTCATAAGAATTTCTTTACGAGTCATACTGATTTTGTGACCATGTCGCAATTCCTATAATGACAAGTGTTGCATAGGTTATGAATTTTTGTTTCAAAAATGTGGATACAAAGCAATACACTAAAACACCTTTGCTTAATAAAGGGGAAAATTTATCTTTACCTCTGTAACTCTTTCGATTGAAGTAACAAATTTGTTGAGTGAGTTTTCCCATATTGCCAATTTAACAGACTGGGACAATGCATTGGAAAAGGTATATATTTCCAACAGACGGTGTTGGTTGTCAGGGTCTGATTCCCTTAGTTGGATGATGTCCCCTGCCAGGCTTGTTTTACCATTGCTAAAGAGATCAAGTTAATTGTTTTATGTTTCTAGCTGTAACAGAGTATATAGCGATGTAACAGAGTATTATAGTGATGTAACAGTATAAGTGATGTAATATAAATATTTTACTAGATGTAACAGAGTATAAAGTGATGTAACTGTGTATACAGTGATGTAACTGTAACTGTGTATACAGTGATGTAACAGTCTACATAGTGGTGTAATAGATTATGTATATATATATTATATAGCGATTCATTCATTAACCTTAAAAAAGGAAAAAAACTGGTGAACCAATTATTATATAATACAGGTCTCTTTGATCTGAGTTAGACACACACACAAAGAACAGCACAACATGGACACAACTTCAATGTAAACTGGGAGAGAAGAAAGTAAAGAAGATATCAAATGTAAGTTGTGAGTCAAATAATTAACAGTTCCATTTAGCCAATGACATATGGAAATGAATCAAATAATGCAGCATAAGCATTTTTCAAGTACACATTGCAGCAAATGTTAAATAAAACCAACATAATCTTACTGAACTGAGATGTGTTTATTGTGATGCATTATAAAAAGTTTCACCACAACATTTTCATAAGATAAGGGCCCTGTATATTAAAAAAAACTTTTCTTTTTACATTCAGGGACTTATGAAAAAGAAACAGTTCGAAACTACATTAATAAAGCTTAAATTTAATATCTCACCTGACACAGGTGAAGTCCATTTCTTCCCTTTCAAACAAAATAAGAGATGATATATATGGGCCTTCTACAAACTTGGCCAGTATATTTAGAAATGCATTTCTCTGAAATAATATTAAGATGATTATTTCTATGGGTTTATTCAAAGTTTAATCACGAAAATTTTTTAAATTCTATCTGTATCAATTTAATGAAAAGCAATTTTTAAATAACCTACCTCTAGTTCTGGTACACACCAGAATACAACTGAACCATCTCTGTAATAAAATATATATATATATTTTTTAAAATTGATCTCCGTCTCAATTTATAATTGTTACCTAACTAGGTGATGCCATTCACAATCATGTACAACAGCGCCCCCACTCTTATAAATTAGAACTGTAATATTTTTTTTTAATTTTTTGTACTCCCAATCATCCTTTGTCTCTTGCTTTAACACTATTCCCTATATGAATGTCTACTCTACAAGTCCAACTCCTCCTTAAACCCCAGCCTCTTCCACTAATACTCCACATCACTCACCAACCCTGCCCAATTAGTCCCACTGCATCTCAACTCTTATCCCGACCCTCTGCCTCATTTTCAAACCGTGCTTTCCACCTAACAAGACAAACCTTCAAGAAATCTACATAAAGAACAAATATTTCCCCCACACACACTATTCCTACTTATTGGCATTTTACTTAATTATGTAATTTATTCAATAAAGTTAAGCTTTGGTTAATTTGGGCCTGTTAAACAATGCATTTTAATTGATATAATGAAGTAAGGGAAATCAGTAGGTAGAATATCCTGCTATATCAGTGCTGGAGATAAATAAGTCATGTTGCTCCTGACAATTCAGTTAGTTTAAAATTAGCATGGAAACATTAAAACTTACTCAAATACAAATATTTCTTTGGGTTTCTGTTCGATATTGTATTTTCCCCTGACATGTAAGGCATCTGTGACATCTGTGCATAGGGAACAAGTTGTCAGGTTATGAGTTATTTTGCATTTACATATACATATATTATTTTGACTGGTGACTTTGAAATTTTTATAAAATGTAAACATTTATTCTTAAACAAAGACTTAAAGATAAAAAATTAATTCACCATTTGTAATTTGATATAAAGATAAATGGAAAATGAGACTTTCATTAACATAATCTTAGACTTAGAGCTCAATAATTCCATGTTCAGAAGCAGTTAGTAAAACAAATATCAGTACCTACACATTAAAAGTATATTAATACATTTCAATTCTCTCTTTGGGATATTAGATGCTAATTTCTTACCTAAAGGCAGTTTTCCAATGTTATACAAGCCTTGTTTAATTAGGTAATTCTCTAACTGTTGAAGTTTTATCTCCTCAGCCACAGCATACGCGACAATATTATCAAGTTGTACAGTCTGAAAAAACAGACAACAAGGTCACATTTAATCACATATGAATGATAATTGACATGGTATCAGAATCACACGGAAGCTTGAATCAAAGCTCAAATCACAGGAGTAACAGAAATATGAGAATGAATAGTGAGTGAAATGAAGATTCAAAGTCATGTGTGTCTGGGGGGAGGGGGGGGGGATGGATATAAATATGGTGTGAAAGATATCAGGGGTTAGTTCAGCTTATGATTTGATAGTTTGTTTTAGATATCCTAGAGCTCTTCATCAGATTTCACAGAGAGGGAGAGTCTTTGTTATTTTCATAGTAGTTGTGATAGGACATATTGTAACCAGATAGATCTACTGGCAGAGTCTGTTTGCCTGTGTTGTAAATATTCCTTATTTGTGGTATAAGATAGATATATACATAGATTAGATATAGAGTGCTAGGGAGTGTACATAGACAAATCATAATCAATGTTCCCTTTAAGCTGCGCAGCATCTCACAGGGGCCACGCAGCAGTTTTGAGTACCCGCGCATCAAATTTCCATATAAGTGTGTGTTTTTATTTATGGACTGTAAAATTTTGCAAACAAAAAATTGATAATGTAAAACTTTGCAAAAACTGCATGATTTTTTACACGAACCAGCAAACCTTAGTGGGAACATTGATCATAATATGTAGATATATATATACATATAAAATTAATCTTAAGTGTTAACTAGTTGTATTCCCCAACATCATTGCCCAAGTATCACCAATTTTACTCAGCAAGCCATCGTTTCTGAACAGACACATTGATGTTTTCAAGAACACTGCCTTTTTTAATACAGCCATGCAGTTTTATAAATAGAATGTGTATCAAAAGATCTATTGACTTAACAAAAAAACTGATTTATGGGAACATAATTTAATTAATCACAAGGTAAATATTTACACTATAATTTGATTTAATGTTAAAGCAATCTTATTTTTAATATCACAAATCAAACTTTTATTTTTTACTCTGATCAGATTTTTTCCCCTATGCCCATACTGAAATTCTTTTAATCCTTTCTTAATTACCTTGGCTTCTTCTGAGAGTTTTGGTACTTTTTTGCGCGCAGGGCGTCGAATTTGAAGAGCCGACTGGTCTTTAAGCATTGCTGAGTTATTAGCAACTGTAGAATCATTGACAGAATGATTAAATCTTTTCATCCATACAGACACTGAAGCAGTGTTAACACTTTGCTTATCATTATTTAAGATCCTTTTCTGATAGTCATATATGCCCTCTCGTTCAGAAGATTTATGAAACTGTTTGAACATCATTCGACTTGAAGTTTTGGGCTGCAATCTGCATTTCTGGGCAACAGCAAACTTTGGTGTGTCATTTTTCAAAGTCTCGAAAGCAGATAAATTTCCCCTTTTTGAGGCACTTGAAATGGATCGTGTGAAGGGTTTAGCTGTTCTCAATGCTGGCCAAATGGTTTTAGAAAGAACAAAAACTGATTCCATTTTGTTAACTTTTCGTCTCTTTGTGAATGTGCTGATCAGAATCTCTGAAATATAAATATTCAAATACAGATTTAAAATTAGTTTTTTTTAAATTAGAGAAAGGTAAACTTTGCAATGATTTTAAACAAGAGCACGATAATTAACTATTATTCTTTCAAATGGGTGGCAGACTGATCTGAACAGGGTCAATCCCAAGCTTGTGGACTGGAACGTAATCCCCAGCAAAAGCCTAGGCAAGCAAAAACAGCACCATCACCCCTGGTGAATGGAACTCGTTTACTATCTCCAGTCATCTTGACTAAGTCTTGCCATTGGATCAAATGTCACGGACAAAAGTGTGAGGCTGATGAATTGAGCAACTCTCCCTCACTTTAAACAAAATACAGCTCAAGTCAAGGCTACTACTCATACTTTGGTCATCTTTGCATGCAAAGGTCGAACAATAATAATCATTTTTTCAAATAAAATAATATTATCCTGTAGACTAATTTATTCAAAGTGTAGTATCAATAGAACAAAATATTTCCTTTCAGTGCTTCTATTGTTTCATAACAAATTACAGCTACTTTAGGCTTAGGACTTTAGTACTTTTTGAGCTAATGAATTGTTCAAATGCAAGTTTGTTTGTAATTTTCGACTGCACCTCCACATTTTGTGACCTGATTCCACTGATTATGTTATATAATGATTACTTTGGCACAGATTAGGCTAGGCTCCTATAATTTAGTATTTAGTAGTATTTGATATTAAAGACTAACAACAGTTGTGTTGCTCTACAAACTACACTTTCCTATACTAACACAGTAGCAGACCTGTTTACTTCTATGCTTCTTTCGCTGTTGTAACTACATTTTTAAAGCTAAGACTACGGCAAGCCTAAAAAACTGGTTTCCGGAGATTTTTTTCACACGTTAGGTTTAATTTTATTAAAAGTTAATAATTGGGGTGTTTCAGTAAAAAGTTACTGCATTTTTTGTGTTAGACCATAAGCAATTGAATAAGATTGACAGTGATTAACCTTTGCAGTCTCGATCTCAATAAATCAAACAGAATATTGTCTTTTAGAGAATTGCTTTGTTAATACTTAAAATGAACTGCCCAAGTGCTTGCCTAAGACCTCTTCTCATCCTTAAACTTAAGTCTTTAACTTAAGTAAGAAACCAATTGCAGGACTACATCCTGCATATTTATTTGTGTTAACTTTCAAGCAGTTGAGTGAATTTCCTTACATGACATAACTCCCACCCCACTCCCACCCGCTAATTGACCAAACTTCTCTTTGGAGCATGAAGCTACGCTTTTGAGAGCTGAAAATGACAAAACTGGACACTGACACTAGTGACACTAACCCAGGCCCAGGGGTAAACAGGTCTACAGTACAGCAGTGTCACTGAGTGTCAGTAGCCTCAAGTCTCAAGTAGATGAGAAGAGTAGCAGAATACTTATAACTTATACTATACATTAGGGGTGTGCCGGATCCGTTTTTTCCAACCGGATTCGGATTTTCTTATGCGAAATCCGCCGGATCCGGATTCCGGTTTCTCCCGGATTCCGGATTTTGGTACTATTGGTAGATACTTCGGTAAGTCAAGGTGGACTACTACTTTTTGTGTATGGGAATTCGCAATCGGCGCCAAAAAATCCGAGTTTTTAATTTTCCGATGTGTGTGTCTATTTATTATTAAATTAGTACTTTCGATATATATTTGAGTTCCGTTCCATTTGGATAAGTGTCTTACGAGAGACGCCATGTTTCTACGCGTTCGCAGCAGGTTATGCAGCTCGCTCAACCTAATTTCGCCATGGGGTTGGCCACGCCCCCCTTTTTAATGGCGGAAGTTGACGATACTTAGGAAATATTAATTTATTATCACTATTTACATCAAAATAATTGATAACTTGTGTTTCAGAATGCATTTAAAGACATTTAAACTGGAATGTTTTAATTTGAGCTTTAACAACCCGGTAGAATCCATATTATAAATGATCAGAATTTACCGTGTGCAACACGTTGTCATTGGCAACCATTCACAGCCACTTGCATAACTGTATCGTAGTACTACCTCAGAGTTTCATTCATAAGAGTTTGCCGTGTGCAAAAACTATTAAACCATTGGTCAGGGAAAGCTTTAATTAATTATTCATGTGCCAAAGTTGAAAGTTTAAACTAAGTCTAAACAGTATTTTAGTGATAAGGCAGGGAATGCGTTGCCTTATATAAACTATATAGTCATTGCGCATGACGGGATTGGCGGAATGAGATCACAGAATGTGGAGATGCAGTCCATGTTAAAAAATGACAAACCAAGTCGTACTTTAAAAATTCATAACTTTAAAACTACAACAGCTAAATATATGATTTTGGTGTTATAATTCTTTAAAAAATTACATCTTTTCAACAATGCCATTGGTTTATTTTTACAAAAAGTTTAAATTTTCTAATCAAAGTCCCTACACTATTGGCCACTATTAGCGGTGCTGACTCTAGCCTCTGGTATGTACGGAATATTAAACATTAAACAAGCTCAACGCTCGAAACAATCGATTAATGTATCGTGATCGTGTGGAATTCGGGAAAGAGAATTACTTTTATTTCAGATTATGATCCGGTGAGTCACAAAATCTGGCAAATTCCGAAATCCGGTATATTCCGGATGCCGGAATCCGGTTGTTCCGGATACATGTAAATCCGGCGGAACCGGATCTCACCGGATAGTGCAAAATCCGGCGGAACCGGATTCCGGACCGGAATCCGGCACACCCCTACTATACATATACTATAGACTAATCATTTTTTTTTTCGGTTTTACCAAAGAACCTATACCCCTATACTAATTAACAATAATTAGCCTAATGATTAATATTGTCAATATTGACATTGTCATTGATGCATGCGGCCTGAATGAATGAAAGAATCAGAATTGCAAAGATTTGGCAAAGGACGGTCCTTCCTTTTTCACAACAGATCAATTAAAAGCTAGCCCAATTCTACGAGGATTCTGTAATGTCTATGACTATTCAACAACATTAATAGATGGATTAATACCTTTTCCTAGTCCAAATGAATGTGTTTAACCTCTACAATTGACAGTACTTCTACAGTTAACTGAGTAAACTACGACCACTTCAATTTCAAGGAGGCGGCCATTTTTGTTGTCTAAAAACTAAAGAGTAAATAGTAAAATACAAAAAGTATTGGGACAAGCTTTTAAATAATTAAGTGTTATATTATTCAATATTAAACATTTTATTTTGAAATTCATCAAAATTTTATAATAAGCTGTTTTTAAAGGAATTTTAATGAATATTTGTAACATAGAGACATTTAAATGTATCAGATGTTTGATTAAATATGGATTGTTTTGTTAAGACAACTCATTTTAAATTAACAGCAAATTCAAATGTACAAGAAGAATTTACCTGTCTAAAAGCGGTTGCAAGGTGTCAACAAATTAGAAAATGTGCTTTGGGTTGGGCTTGAGTTGCTGTATAGCTCTAATTGAAATACTGTGCTACCTTTCCCTTGTAACTGTACCGTTGTTAGGATCATTCTATGGAGCAGATACCATCTACAGGATATCGATTCATTTGATAATACACAGTTTATTGATAGAATGCATCCCCAAATTTTTGGTAGGTAAGGGGTCATCCATAAAAGACGTCCACACAAAAGGGGGGAGGGGGGGTTCAGCAAAAAGTGGACAAAAGGGGGGAGGGGGTATAGGACAAAGTGGATGTCCACATTGTAGTGTTTTTTTTAGTGCAGCAGTTTTGCATAAATTTACTGCAAATTTACTGCCCGATCACAGTTACAGTAGCATGCCTTTTGATCTCTAAACTATTGTCCATCGGTGGCTGGAAGAATTTCCAAGAGAATATGTTTCTGCGGTAAATATATCCCATCACAGGTGGCAATGAAAAAACATAAGGTCGTCCATTGCAATATTCCTGCTAGTGAACATAATATGGCAGACGAATCAGACGAAGAGACTGCCACTCAATCTCAAATTGAATTAGCAATTGAAGACTCAAGAACAGATGTTTTCATTATACGAAACATGTTTGAATGGCTGCAGTCCGAATTTTCCGTTGATTGAAGAATGGTGGATTATTTGTTTATTACATTTTTTAATACAGTGATTCAATGAAATGTTTTTGAACAGTTATTATTTCATTTAGAATTTTGCTTGCAAATAATTGGAATTTCTAAAAAAAATCTTTGTATATCTCTTTATATTATATTGTTGTACATTTTCCCAAAATATTCTTTAATTTAAGTTCGGTAAATTTTATGTTTTGGATGTCCACAACGGGGGGGGGGGGG